TCAGATGGACTTTTCCTCGTGTGTTTCACACCAAGACTGAACGTCCTCCACATATTTTTTAGCAGATATTTAGTTCTAGAGACTTGTTGGGACCAAACATGCTCATTCTCGTTCATTTACTGCTTTTATATAAGGTTCAAATTGAGTATTTTTTGTGTCTTCTTCTGTCTTTTACCCCAAATATTACCGTCCTCCACACGTCTTTAGCAGATGTTTAGTTCTAGAGATGTATGTAGAAGTCTTTTATTTAGTCTGTATTGGTTTCAAATTGACCTTATCTTGTGTTGTCGTCTGTCTTTTACACCAAGACTGAACCTTTTCCCCACGTCTTTAGCAGATGTTTAGTTCTACATATTTATTCACAACAAACAAACAAACAAACAAACAAAAAAGGGGGGTCCGTCATTTCGCCCAAAGTTTAACTTTCTATACTCATTTTTAGCAGATTTTTTTTTTTGTTCTAGAGACTTACCAGAGAATCAAAACACTGAATCTATTTCACCACATATTACCTGAAATTATGATTTCTGGATGAACTTTTTTTTTAAAGTTTTGCTGTTGCTCAAACTCCCTCCACAGTCGCTGATTGAACCTCGAAAACTTCATCTCCGTGGCTCAGAATTGCATATTTAGAGGTTTTTCTTCCCCCCTCATGAAAATAATCCCTTCATGCCTTGAAATGACTTGATTTGACTCCTTCCTCTAAAATGTGCAGATATGAACTCCCTTCCTCTCTGAAATTGCGATTCCCTGCTCGGCACAAGGCAGACTGTCTTTTATATTGGGTTGTGTTTTAATGCATGACTCCGGTGACGCCCTCAGTGAGCCGAGTGTGCTTGTTTATGAAGACCAGAGAAATGGTTTAGGAGGGAACCGTAGCGTCACCGGGCCGATCCGAGGGTAATTCTGAGCTCCGGTTCTTGAGGGAAGAATTAGACGGCGGCGATGAATCTCTGTGGAATTTAAAGCAGGCTGAGCCAACGCCCGAGCAAGTTGTCCTGCACCAGAACCAGCGGCTCTGCTCGGCGCTTCCTCCATGTGTTCAGAGAATTATTTCAGATCCAAACCGGCATTCATCACCTCCGTCTGACGGATGCTTTTTAAAATTATCCTCCCAGCTGGAGTCGCGGCTGAGATTAATGTGGCTGAAAAGTCTGTCTCGTTTAAAAGTTTGGTTTTAGTCATTATCGGTAGTTGTTGCTCATTTTTAATCATGGATTCATATAAAACAACTTAATTGCCTTGTTATTGAGATACACAGGTCATAATTAAAGGTAAAAGGTTTCATCACAACATCGGATAAAGACTCCAGGAGCCGAAACGATTTGACAAAGTCTAATTAATTCCTGCAGACGATAAGAGACGATGCATCCTGGTTCACATAATTAAGAACATTTTTATTGTCAATTCCAGAAAAAACAAGAAAAAATTATGAACATAAAATGAAATGCAAAACTTTTCTTTTTAAATGGAAGAAAACAAACCCGTGTTAGATAAGATGAAAATATACCGATGACACGACAATGAATGCAGCGAAAAGCAGTAAGATGTAAGTACGATACGCTAATAAAAATAAAACAAGCTAAAGTAAGACTAGAATGGAAGTACAGTCGTGACTCGATCATCGACCCTTAACAATCCTAAACTTGCTGTCTGACAGGTTTTTAGGAAATGACATAACATTTAATGTCACCAATCAGGATGACGGCGTATTATCTGACTGAACAATCCCACAGATTGGCTACGTTCACACTGCAGGACTTGATGCTCAATGAGGATTTCTTTGTGACTTCCTTCACGTTTCCAGTTCAATGCGACTTGTATGTGATCTGCTGTGTGAACTTCATACGAGCCAAAAGTGTCCCGCATGCGCAGAAGAGGACACGACGACGTCACACGCAGCGAGCGTGCTCAGTGTTTATGGAAGTAAACATGGATGGTAACGGTGGAGCGTATCTGCCACTCCCCCGCCGCCACCGATGGAGGAAACAGAAGTGTGAGCGCTAACTAAACTAGCATCAGCAGCCTGTGTGTTCTGGACACTTCCACCCCGTCAGAGCGCTGCCCCGGGGTGGAAGTGTCCCCCGACCGGGACAAATATTCTGGTATTCATCCTGTTTCATGGCTGTTTGCATCTTTTAATTGAAGCATCTATTGAACAGTTTTCTTATGATGAAGCGTCGGTATCGTTTCATAAAGTCTCTTTCCAACTCTCCATTAGCTATTAGGTGCATGGAACCCTGCAACACCCTCAAACTCTGCTCCAAATACTTTCTTTCAGGTGATGAATTTTTCAAGTTCGGCCCTCGGAGCTAAATTTCATCATATTTGCGGTTTCGTCAGAGCTTCACCTCCAGATTATGTTTCACTGGACTGGGTTGAAATTTGTTCTGAACGTCCACGAAACTCTGAAGACGATTTGCAACCAACTGCGATATTTGATTTTCTACCAATTAAATTAAAAAATAAATAAAAGAACAGCTCCTCTGGTTTTCACTTTAACCAGACTTTTCATGGCGTCGTCATGAAGGCGCCTCTGTTTTCGTAATGCTGCCTTTATTTACCAAAAAGACCAGAAATGTGAAACTTAGCACGACGTAGCTTCATCCTTTGACCTCCTGACTTGGAGCCAAATTATTTACACTCAGAAAGTGTCGGTTATCGTAGGTTATTGTCGGTGTTGCTGTTGAATTAAGATTTCATTTTATTTTTATAGAATTCATTAAACGCTCCGGTCTGATTCGTCGACCAGCTGATTGGTGCATCTTCCAGCGGCACTTGTTCCATCTTAATTATTGACTCCAGACTCCTGCGTCTCGTAACGAGGCGGTAAACACGTTCTCTCATAGTTTTGAGGAACAAAAACAAACAAACACGCCAGAGGGAGACCATTTAGGGTTCAAGCTCGTACACCGTGAACACGAGCGCTCGAAACCTGAACCGCTTTCCTCCGATCAGGGAGCGTGCCCAGAATACCAAAGTCTGTTTTTTGATCGTTCAAGAGCACAAACATGGCGGGATGACGTGGATCAAAACCGCGATAAAACTACCGCCCTGGTTGTGGACGGTCAGACGCCACCGAGGGCTCCTCTGCCGCCGTCGCCTCTCCTCGGCTTCTCGTCCTTATCTCCCGTCCTCCATGACGCCTGAGGGATCCTCCATCTCCCCGCTCAGAGGTGGAATTGGAAACGCTCTCCCTCCCTGATGCAACCTCCTGCTATGTCTGCGCTCTGTTTACTTTGGCCTCCCTCTCTCTCTGCGTTTTCTACCAGACTTCATTTTTACTTAATCATCTCGGCGCACGTCTGGAGGGATTCGCCGACCGCCTCCTGCAACAAACACAGACGAAAACATAAACAAAAATATTTAATCTGCGCTTCAGTCGCAACTCGGAAGTAAACGCTGAGAGCTCCTGGATGCTGTTGTGTTTTGGCGGGGATGCTCCTGACAAACAGCGAAGCCACATCCCGGCTGCGAGCTCGCAGTCGATAATCGTTAAGACTCGAGAACAAGTCGTCCCCGTTACATCCTTCCTCGTTTGGCTTTCTCGGGTGTCAGACGCACTTAGGACCGGCGCTGTTCTTTAAAAAGACACCAAGTCGCACCGCCGCCATGTGGGACCTCATTATTCTCCAACAGCCTTTGAATTCGAGTGCAGTCAGAAGCCGGCTGCAGAATCCGTGCACGACTTCTGTCATTTCTAAAATTCAGATTTGCTTTCAGACACTCGTGGAGGAAAACAGAGTCACGAATACTCAATAGCCAATCACAGGCGGGCGGACGGGCTGATTGTACCAACGGTGTGAACAAGAGCAGGAGGGAGTTTTGACCTTTTCATTTCATTCATACACTGTTAAACCATTTAACCTCAGTGATTTCTATGTTTATTGGCTACGTGTTGGTGCCTTCAAACCAGCTTTAGGTCTGGAAACTATTCCTGAAACACTGAGGAATCTCACCAGGTAGCTGCCAGATACTCAGACATTTCTAGCTTATTAAAGTCATCCTTCTGTAAACTGAGGTGAAAACAGCCAATGGACGTTTAACCAGACATGCATTTTGGTTTTTTCATAGACTTGTAGACGTACAAGCATCAGTGCTTATCTTTAGTTAAATGTCATTTTGCTGTTTCCACCTTCGTTGGGCGCTTTTGGTTTCCGTCCACAAGCTTCTTTGACCTCTGTCTTACCAGAATTGGTGCAGTTAAACTAAATTTGTGGGCTTTCTCACACAAATTTGTTTCTTCGTCCGTCCACAGGTTCTTGATTCGTTAGTGGAGTGCAGGTTAGAAGCTTAATTCCAGCCTGATTGAACCGTTTCTTTACCATTTTCGATGTGTTTGGGGTCATTGCTGTGTTGGAAAAACCCAACTGCATCCAAGATCAACCTTCTGACTGATGGTTTAGGGTTTTCCAGAAGAATGTGGAGACGATCCTCCTCCTTCGTCGTTCCACTTAAAGCATCAGCTCCAGTCCCCAGAGCATGATGCTGCCACCGCCGTGCTTGGTGCTAACTTTGGTGTTCTTGGGGTTAAAGGCCTCACCGTCTTTTCTCCAATCATATTTCTTTATTGTAGCTCGAGTTATGTTGAATTAGTTATGTGTCGAGGCTAATAAGTGATGATTGGTGTGATTTTTGAATTTTAGCATCCAGAGGGTTGATGCTGGATGTCTGTGTGACTGATGCCCTCCTCCAGCTGTGCGATGACTCACAGCGAGCCGAACCGCACATCTGTCCGGCCGCCATCCTGCTGAGACTCACGGCGGCGGCGAAACGACAACCAGAAATACGAGCTTCCCCTCGCCGCCCTCGCCGCCCTTCGGCTGTAACTCAGCCTGAACGCTCGTATCAGCGGCTGTAATCTCTGAAGTGTTTTACACGTCCGCTGTTTGTTTCGCCGGTCGTAAAGATGGGCTCGGCGGAGGCCAGACCTCTTTATTGCCTCGTCTCTGCAACGTCTCCTCATCTGCTTTTCTGTTTTTTTGTGTGTTTTGTTGCAGGTTTTGTATGCAGAAGAGCGCCAAGCTGGTGCCGGGGGTGACGTTAGACCTCATCGAGAAGTAAGTGGCACTCGGGCTGTCTGTCTCTCAGGAGGCTTCGGTCTACAGAGATCATTATCCTGCTTTTCCTCTCGTCTCCCTCCCCGTCTGTCTGTCGATCTCCTCCTTAATGTCAGCCCTCTCTGTTGTTTTCCATCCTGCAGGTGTAATTCTCTGCCTTTGTTTCCCCCTCGCAGCCAAAGCGGCAGCACTTTGGCAGATTTAAGGCTTCGCGTCTCTTGAATAAACCTGCGGGTGCCGAGCGGCTGAGCGGGAACATCTCTCGCTCTCAGGCTCCTCAGATTGATATTAGCGCTCGATGTGGATGTCATATCCAAAGTTTTAGTAGCTTCTGTGAACGTCGGGGGCGGCTTTCTTCCCTCTAACGTGCGGGGGAGAGTGAAATGACACCCATAAACCAAGGCTGGGTTTTTGAAGCCGTAAGTTACTTAAAAGCCGGCTGTTATATCTAAAAAAATAAAAAATACATCTCGTCGGAAAGCACCTGGAGGTGTTGAAGTCTGGTAATGACATCTGCTGTTTGCTAAAGGTGAGCTTGTGTTTGCGTTCGCGTGGCCTCATGTTACCTGCACAGCTGCACCTTCCTCTAGACTCTAATGAGTTCTTGGCTGAGGAGACGCTGTGAGTTTGTCCTGAAGAGCTGCTTCCACTCTGTTTGTGCTGCTTCGGTCGGACTCCAGCTCCCACTATGACGCACTTTTTTTCTCTTTTCCCCTCCAAAAGTTCCACCTTACCTTTGGAGAGGATGCTTCTAATCCCTCACATCTGTCAGGAGGTTTGACAGCGAGACGGAGTCTCAGATTGAAGCTTTTATTTGGTGTAGAGAGAGGACAGTCGGGCCTTTCTCTCATTGTTGTAGATGCTTTATCCAGGATGTTTTGAGCATTTCCCTTTAGATGAAACAGAAATATAAACGAAGAATCTTCTTCAACCACAAGCTGTAAAACAAAGATGTTCAACCTTCAGCTAAATCTAGACTCACACTTTAGCTTTTTATTCTCGATGTCTGTTTGGAAAACGTACCAAAAACATCCCGTTTACTCGCAACACCTTCTCTGGAAAACACTAAATTCTGAGGCAGAGCTTTGAAGCCGTCAGTGGTTCGACTGCAGCAAATCGTCCTCGAGCGAAGATTCAAGGACTTCTTTTGAATTAACGGCGACGTGCTAAAGCTCAAAATCCTGTTATTTCTGTTCATCTAAAACTTACCAAAAATAAACCGTTTGCACTAAACGTGTTCTATAAAAAGCAAGAACTTCTGCGTCCTGTGGCGTAGCTCAGACGCCGTGTGCAGCCGTGACGTGACCAGAAATCGAGTGACGACAGTTCTGCAAGCAGCGTTCACGCTAAGCAGGTAGAAGAACATCTACAGCATGTAGAGTCACCTGTCTTTCCCAGTGTTGGTAACACCTGAGGAACAACTGGGCTTTTGTCTTTTCTTTTCATGATTTACGGCGTTCTGATTTTATCTTTGTGGCTGTGCTGCTTCCAGACAGTTTCAGGACTTTATTTTGGAGGAAAAACATCACAGGAACAAATAAACATTCATTCTGAAGCCGACTAGCGACAGTAGGAACATCTAACCAGTCATTTTAGTGTTTTATATTTAGTTTAATCTGCTGTTAATACAAACTTCCTGATCCAGATCACTGAACCAGTTTAACCGAATCATATTCTGCTGCTTTTTTTTGTTTGTTTTGAACCCGTTTGAGAGGCGGGATCACTGAAATGACTGCGTTTATTTGAGCCAGAACGAGATGAACCATCAGCGAGTTAAAAACCCAACAGCATCCAGGAAGCGTTCGGGGTTCAGCGGGTCTGCCGGCAGTTTGTCGTCGTCCCTCCAGCTGTTTGACCAGCTGTGGGTCGTATTCTCATCAATGACAAGTGAGGCGACTCGCTGCTCGTTCGTGTCTTTGCGAGTCCCGTCTCGTGTCCCAGAAGCTACTCGAGGAACAAGTGAAGCATCCGGAGGAGGCGTAGCTGCATTAGGATTAGATTCTTTCTTTCACACTTTTTTACAAACTGTTTTTCTTTCTGCTTGCTTGCAGTTTCCCTCTGATCTCTATTCACACACCTCTTTCCTTTCTCTGCTGTGGACGAGCAGCTCAGTGCAGCAGCAGCTACGACTCCCAGAGCAGGATGGGAAACCACAAGAGCCAAGACGAGCTGCTTTGAAGAAACAAACCCCTTTTTTTTTTCATTTGTCTTTCCCCTTTTTTTATTATTTCTGCCTTCTCAACCGCGCCGACATCAGTCGTCGGGTTTGACAACATTGAAGCTCTCCGTTCATTCATGCTTCGGCTCTCATGTCCTCGTCGTCTTTCATCACTTGTCTCACCAGAGCACTTCTGTGGAGAGGCGGAAATAATAACGTATGAACCAGATTCGCTGTGAGGAGAGTTTCAGGGAAAAAAACCCGTCAGAGATGGCGTCAGAGGAGGCTTTTGTCTGACCACGAGTGACGGCTTCGCGATTGTTTTGCTGCAACATCGGAGTCGAACTCAAAGTGGTTTTCTGTAGAAAGGCTTTGATTCCCGTAATGGCCTCTCGGTATGGACGGCCACGCCGAGCGCAGCAAAACAAGTTCCTTCAAAGAGGAATCAAAGCTGTGGGGTGAAGCAGTCAAACTTCTGCTGCTCAGCTCTTCATGTTGGCTGTCAGAATCGGACACGTACACGGCGGCAGCGTACGCTAATGGGTAGCCGGCGAGGCTAAGAGAAGGACTTCTGCTGGCAGGGAAGTGCTGACCTTCCCCGTGCTCGCCTAAGATTGGATTCGAGATGTTGTCGATTCTGAACAATGCCGAGAAAAACAGCGGCGAAATATTAGATTCATGAGATACACGACCTTGAATTGATGTTCAACCGTAAATAAAAAGGTTGTGTGAGGAAAAGAAAACACACAGAAAACCAACATTCATGACAAACGAGTGTTTCAGGGTTTTATTCATTCACTAAAATCCGCCACTGTTGAGAGAATTTATTCTAGTTCGTTGGCCGATGTTCCAGCGCCGGGGCGTTTTAAATTATTTGTTTTGCCTCATTACATGTTCTATCTGATGTACAGACGGCTAAATGCTGAGGCAGCTGTTGTACATCGGCGTTAAATAATGCATCGCCCCGGAGCTCATGAAAGAGGAATGGCGTTAAACCCGTCTCACCTCTCTGCTCAGCCGAACGAGGAAGGAATCAAACTGAAGTCAGAGTGTCAAAGTCGGACGTTTAATCAAAGTGAAGCCTCGTCAAAGTGGGAAGTGTCACAGAAACACACGTTACGTTGGTCAAAAGTGGACAAGAATCGATGGTAGACGGTTAAAAACATGTAAACGTTGTTGACCGTGTTGCAGCCGTTTGAAGGACGTTGGCTTTCAAAATAGAATAAAATAAAAACCCACCAAAGTCAGACCGTTTCTGAGCCAGAAACCGTTATCGGTCCTTGAACTACTCATCGGTTCCATCAGAAAATTTAACTTAAACTTAAGCTCAAAATAGCTGTTTGGTCAAAATCACTATTCTACATGTCTCGTTTAAAAACTCA